ATCCGGATCAGGATGATTATAGTAGTGACTATAGCAGTGAAGTGGGAAGCTCAGAGGAAGATGAGGACTGAAAATTTGTGGTAAAACTTCATGTTTTGCTTGTTCTCATGGGTTAGGGATTTCAGCTGCCATCTGCCTCTGGAATTTCATGCTTTTTGTATTTTTCTTTAACATGTTTTTTGGGCTTAAATCTGTAGCAACTTACTTAATGTGCCAAATTCCTTCTTCGGTATTGAAGAACCTTTTTTTCATTATTGGTAACTTTATCAAGTAATGTTCATCTTTTAATTTGAAGGATTGTCAATGCTGCAAAATCTTTTTTGCTCTGGTATACAAAACTTGGACAAGAAAATTTTGAGTACGATAGCTACGTTTTGTTATATCCTCGCTTCTGATAATTTTTTGGGAGGAACATTGGTAGGTTGTGCCAAGGGTGAAGCCAGGCTTTTATATTAACAAGGGCTGGGAGTTAATTATGACACCAACTTAATAAGATGAAGCCATCAAAAGTTGTTTTTCTAATATCTTGTATAGTTGGGCTCAATATTCTTTTAGACAAAAAATTCATCTAGAGGGAAGTTGGCAAAACCTTTTAGCAATTGGTACAGAACTTTCCACTAATTCCTCCGGTACATGAACAAAGAGTTGGGAACTTTTAGAATCTGATTCTGTTAATATTTTGAACTCATGCTGTCATGGTTTTTTCGTACTTGTCTCTTTTTATCTGCTTGCATCTAGTCATAGAAATGATCTTTTCTTACAAATTTGCAAATATCGTCAATTTTGGAAGACTTGCATCCAGTAGGAACGAATGCACAATTAAGAGTAAGAGATTTCACTGAATTTGAACTGGAATTGGTATGGTTCATGCAATTGATGATCCATTCTAGTGGTCAAAGCATCTGGTCAATAGTAATGCTCAATAGTATTTTGATCTTCCTGATGGCTAGTATAATGCATAGGGTATGCTTTTATCTAGTGTCTATGTTGTGACCCTCACAAAATTTCGTTCATGACAAAAGAGGAATCCTTCATCTCTCGGATTCTAAATTCTTTGTAGCTGAGACAGGGTGCATGACATCTAAAATATCCTTGGATACACTACAAAGATGGACAAAATGTATTATTAGACTTCTTTAGTTGAAGGCAATTTGAACACAAGCAAAAAAGACATCAGCATTTCATTAATTAAAGATGCTTCTTTATACTGCAAGAGAGTTATTAATTAATGTTAAGAAGTAATATGTGAAATTGTACATTTTCACCCAGCTTGGAATAGATTACAAATGAAAATTTATTTACTAACACTAATTGTTTCGAAGTAACAATCAGACTGATCCCTATTCTAGCTTTGATTTTATCATTATTGATTACAGGGGAAATTTTATTAGTATAAGCAACTTCTGATTGTTATTGTGTTTTGCAAGAATGGTTGACATATGTGAATCAGATTCCATTTTGATATTAGTGAATCTCTTGATTTTTCATGCCATTTATGATGCACCTACTTTCGGATCAGTACTGACCGCTGCAGCATTCAGGGTAGATTCATTTATAACAGTTAGATTGAGCCCAATTCTAGCTTTGTGTGTATTTTTATTGGTTACGGAGGAAATTTTACCAGCATAAGCAACTTATGATTTGTTATTGTGCTTTTCAAGAACGGTTGACATATGTGAATCAGAGTTCATGTTGATATTAATGAATCTCTTGATTTTTCATTAATATTGTGCTTTGCAAAAATTATAATGCATCTAATTTTCGAGCGCTACCAGGGGGTAGATTCTTGTGCAAATGTTATTTCACTTGTTTACTGAAATGTAGTAAAAGAGGGTAGCGGGTAGATTCTTGTGCAAATGTTCTTTCACTTGTTTACTGAAATGTAGTAAAAGAGTATTTTGTACCGCATCTGATTGGAAACTAGGTTCTCACTAAATGAACGTTAAATGATGGGCTGCAATGTTACCAGCAACGATGCAAGATCTTATACTGGTGACTGAACCAAAGGAGGGCATAAAGTGTTGGTGCTAGTGAACCAAAGGAGGGCCTTATTGGCATGAGTTGTAGGTATCTACTACCATGCATTGATAGAGGTCTATTGTGGCAATTGGTCTTCTAGTTTATACAATTATCTGAGGAAATGCATATTATTCTGTTTTCATATAAGTGGTTTTAGGTTGTGTTTTGTTATGCTGTATCTACTGGTAGTCATCATTAGGATTTATTGAAGGCTTTTTGAACTTGAGGCTTTTAAGCTATTTGGAGTTTACCTTCTTTCATGTTTGGTGTAACATTTAATAGTTAAACTATAAAGATCCTTAAGGGTAGGTTCTTGCATGTTGGTGGTGATAAAAGATGAGAATAGACCCTGTCAAGGTCCTGACTCTTGTAAAAGTGTAAGGGATCAAAGATGTTCTTTCCTTGGAGTGGAGTTAGGTCAGCATGATGGTAGTGTCTTTGCTCATATCTGAACTCTACCTTACCCCATACCTGACCTTCTCTCAAGATTCAACTGGGATCTGTTTTAACTTTCATATGCTTGATAAAATATTATATGGATTATTTATATGATTTGCCACTGGATCATAGTCTTTATGTTCATGATGATGTCAAAATGGAATTTGATTTTACATACTCTTGTTTGGACTCATGCTATCTGCAACATGCATTTTTTATATTTGTTTCCACCCATCTATGGTTTACATATTATTCAACAATATGAAATGGATTTAAGCCACAACTTTTAATTCTTGAAACCTGCTGGACCATTCTGAAAGTTAAATGGGTAGGAACATATAGCCATACAACGTTTCCTTTTCAAGTCGTTGGTACTTGGACCAACCCAATGTGATGAAATCACTTACAGGAGAGCATTGTTACCATTCATGGGGAGACTATTATTGTTAACATTGTGTTGATCTTTCTTTTCTGTTGCTTATCTTTGGAGCTTATCTACTGTCATAAGTGATCAAAATAATGCTCCATTCGGTTGCCTCTTGGTGGTATTTTTTCCTTCGTTATGAAAAACATATGATATGGTCATAATATGTTAGGTGACAAAAAGATTTGCATGGACACTGTAATATTTTTAATTTGACAAAAAACTAGGATGCTCAGAATTCATATAAACTGTATGGTAAATATGTTTTTGCCGTAAATATGGTTGGTTATCATTTTTATTTTATTAGAAGATGTTATATATAATCAATTTTATTGATTTCACTTCATCTGCCAAAAATCATATTTTGAGCTCATTGATGACTGCAGCAAGTTACGTAGTTGGACATTTTTTGTCATATTATTTTTCTGTTGAAGCTATGAGCACTCTTGTGGAAAAATCAGACCTTGGAATTTTAAGGAGATTTGATATTACTCGTACGAAAGTATACTGCTCTCTATCTTGAGGTCAAACTGCAAATGAAATGCTGAAAATTTTATTTTTTTTGCTCTCTGCTTTTTATGGCACTTGCAGGGAGAACAAATTAGATAAAACAAACAGCTTGAATCAATGGTTGATTTGAAGAAACTTAAATTCCCAGGATTGCTGATTTTGTTGTAGTCTGTGTTTTGTATGGATCAATCACCAATCGTCATCATTGTGTCGGGGATGACGTAAACCAATTGACTGTCTCTAGTCAGATCTACTTCCATCGTTGCGATGATGGATCTGTCGTCGCTCCACCTGTTATCTCGGAATACTAATAGGGCTAGTGTTCCTTCTTCCTGTCGGTGTAGGCTTTGTATTCGTACTTGTAGAATTCCCAAGTGGATGTATCTCATCTGACTCCTCTGGAGTTGGTCATAGCTTTCTTCTCGGATGAACGACCTGTCCTCCTGGTTATGTGTTACCAGGATAGCTTCTTTTGATCTATGCATATACACCCGGTGATGCCCGACTAATTGCTATACTCAACAGTTAGAATGCACCATTTTGTAGCTTCTTCTGATCTATGCATATACACCCGGTGATGCCCGACTCATTGCTATACTCAACAGTTAGAATGCACCATTTTGTAGTGTCCTTCATTTGTTCACGTAAATTCTCTTATTAAGATTTTCCTTTCTATCGGAGACTTTGCAATATGTGTATATATATATATATATATGTATATATATATATATATATATATATATATGTATATATATGTATATATATATATACATATATATATATATATATACACAAATATATACATATATATATATACATATATATACATACATATACATACATATAT